CTGATCTACTTTATACTGAGACCTGGTCTATACTGAGACCTGGTCTACTTCATACTGAGACCTGATCTACTTTATACTGAGACCTGGTCTATACTGAGACCTGGTCTATACGGAGACCTGGTCTATACGGAGACCTGGTCTATACGGAGACCTGGTCTACTTCATACTGAGACTTGGTCTACTTCATACTGAGACCTGGTCTACTTTATACTGAGACCTGGTCTACTTCATACTGAGACCTGGTCTATACGGAGACCTGGTCTATATGGAGACCTGTTCTACTTCATACTGAGACCTGGTCTACTTTATACTGAGACCTGGTCGAGTGTGTACCTGAGCCGGGTCGACGTCGTTCAACATCACGATGGACGTACAGTGGTAGTCGAGGACCAGACGCCAGAAGTCCTTCACCGTGTTGGGCAAAGGATGCTGGGTAACGATGAACGCTGACGGCTGCTTGTAGCTCTGCAACAATTAACACACGTCCATATATGGTCATACAGCAGGAAGTGACATCACACAGGGGAACAACAAACAGCATCAACAACAATGAACAGAAGATTTAATATGACAGGAGCTCTGAACTAACACACACACACACACACACACGCACACACTCTGTGGACAAGTGTTTGGTTGGTTTCCATGACAACAGAGTGGTTTATTGGTGAAATGGTAGAGTTGGATGTTCAGGACAATACTGTGATTTGTGTGAGTGTTTCTAAACCCATTAACCCACTCTGTCTGTCTGTCTGTCTGTCCGTCTGTGGGTCAGTCTGTCTGTCTCTTTCTGCCCCAAAGTGTTTAATATTACATAAATATAAAGTATACAATGAAATAAATATTTATTTTGTAATATATATGAATTATGAAAAAATAATAATAACAGAAGCGACAACATGATCAATATTAACTTAGTGGTGCAATAGGAAGTTCCAGACATCCCTTTAGGGCCCTGGTGGTTACATACGTCCATCAGAGCAGCGTTGATGTAGTTGGAGCTCTCTCCGTCGATGGTGATGAGGAACGGAAGGCAGCGGTCCGGAGGCAACACGTCCATGCACCGGTTCTTCTCGTGGTTCCTCGGCAACAGAGCAATGCTGCAGTCCTCCACCCGCAGAGTGGGCGTCACCATGTTCAGAGTCTGAGCACAGATACACCAATATCAGTCAGATCAAACAATCACGACCAATATCATCACCAATACATATCAATATCATCACCAATACAGATCAATATCATCACCAATCGAGATCAACATCATCACCAATCGAGATCAACATCACCACCAATCGAGATCAACATCACCACCAATCGAGATCAACATCACCACCAATCGAGATCAACATCATCACCAATAAAGATCAACATCATCACCAATAAAGATCAATATCATCACCAATAAAGATCAACATCATCACCAATCAAGATCAACATCATCACCAATCAAGATCAACATCATCACCAATCAAGATCAATAACATCACCAATAAAGATCAACATCATCACCAATAAAGATCAATATTATTAACCTTTATTAACGGGTTATTAACATATATACTGACATAACTAATGGTGTATTAACCTTTATTAATGGGTTATTAACATATATACTGACGTATATTAACCTTTATTAATGACTATAACTACAGAATATAATAATACTTTACCCTGAACTCCTCTTTGATCTGACTGGAGTTGGTCTGAGGATCCAATCGGTTCATCTCATAGTAAACTGACCGCAGCTGATTGGCCGGAATAGCTGTGTCACCGCAGAGACACGCCTCCAAGATGGCATCATGGATGAAGACGTACTGCTCCTGGACAGAGATGGGGGGAATTAAAGATTAACACATCTCCTGCCTCTTCTCCTCCCTCCTGCCTCTTCTCCTCCCTCCTCCAGGGATGTTGCTGAAATGTCACTCCATAAATGATTTATGTCAACACACAGAGGAGGAGGTGGAGGAGGAGGAAGAGGAGGAGGAGGAAGAAGAGGTGGAGGAAGAGGAAGAGGAAGAAGAGGAGGAAGAGGAGGAGGAAGAGGGTTAGGGTTAGACAGATGAGTGACAGTAAAAGTGAGACAGAAGTTCATCGCTTTGTCCATTTCTGTCACATCCTGTCAGTTACCGTTTGATGACATCACAGCCTTTAAAAGAGCTGCAGCAACAATAACAACAGTGGCTCCTGGTGTCCCTCTATGAACGTGGCTCCTGGTGTCCCTCTATGAACGTGGCCCCTGGTGTCCCTCTTTGAACGTGGCCCCTGGTGTCCCTCTTTGAACGTGGCCCCTGGTGTCCCTCTTTGAACGTGGCCCCTGGTGTCCCTCTTTGAACGTGGCCCCTGGTGTCCCTCTATGAAAGTGTCCCCTGGTGTCCCTATATGAAATTGTCCCTCTATGAAAGTGTCCCCTGGTGTCCCTATATGAAATTGTCC